GAAGGGGCAGAGGCGGAGGCAGAGGCAGAGGCAGGGGCAGAGGCAGAGGCAGAGGCAGAGGCAGACAGCCTTTCAAGTCAAGGTAAGCCTGGTCAACAGAGAGAGTTCCAGGATAGCCAGGACTACAAAGAGAAACCCTGTCTCAAAACAAACAAAAACAAAAGACACACACCCTTTAAGCATGTATGTGCACACACAGAGGTCAGAGGATGCTGTCATTCTGGGTGTCCTTCGCTATCACTCTACCTTAGTCCCTGAGACACTGAACCCCACTGACCCTGAAGCTCATCCATTTGCAGCTGGGCTACCTAAGCAAGGGTCCACGAACCCCTAACCTCCAAAACCTCACCCCTCGCTAGTGTCGGGGCCACAGACTTGCAGCCACACCCAGGGTTTTGCATGGGATCTGGGGCACCAACGCAGGTCCTCACATTTACACAGCAATTACTCACACCCACTGAGCTACCCACTTAACACCATCCCAGCCAACCCCTCGTTTCAGTCTAAATCAAATCTGGCAGTATCAATATTAACTAGCATGAGAAAAACAAACAGAAAACCCAACACCACATCACTTTTTCTTGGAAGTAAGATCTAAGTAACAAACAGAATGGATCTATGGATATATGCCAACATTCATCCCATCAGCATGATAAGCATATTTAGCAACTATTAAGTTTAGTGTATAGCTATGTATAAGCCACCAACAAGTTACATTAAGAAAAGACATAGAGGGGCTGGAAAGATGGCTGGGTGGGTAAAAGCACTGGCTGCTCCTCCCGAGAACCTGGGTTTGATTCTTAACACCTGCATGGTGGCTCACAACCACCTGCAAGTCCAGTTCCAGGGATCCAATGTGCTTTTCTAGGCATAGTGTTTACAACATCTGACCAACCTGGCTGCTCCTTCCTGTCTCTTTAAATGTCAATCACCACAGTGAACACTACACAGCCATTACCTAGCACAGACCCTGACACCAGTACCGACTCTACTTGTGCCTCTAAATTCCTCTGCCTTCCCCTTTATTCTCCTTGACTCTCCCCAAGTCCTGCTTTCTTTTTGTTCCATCCACCCAGCCAACAGTGTTCTTTGAGAGCTCGTTGTCTAGGTAGTTTTTATTAGTGGCTGTGGCAGGGAGAGCCTGCTTCCTCAGGGATTTCTCTTGCTTCTTTTCACATAGTCCATACACAGTTATAGAACAAAATATCTAACTGAAGAGCTTTGCCCTTATCAACCCCCTTTAAAAGTATCTCTCTGTGGCCTGGAGATGGCTCAGAGGTACAGAGTACTTACTGCTCTTGCCTAAGATCTGGGTTCAGTTCCCAGCACCCCTGTGGCAGCTCACACCACCTGAAACTCCAGTTCCAGAGGACTCAGTGCCCTTTTCCTGCCTCTGGATGTGCGTGCATACAGTGCACAGATGTACAGGCAGGCAAAACAAAACACCAATGAATCTCTTAAAAGGGAAAATAAAATACCTATTTGTTTTCTATGGCCTGCAGGAAAAAAAATCCAAAGTTTCTGCCTAGCAATTGAAGACCCTTTAGCACTCCCTCCATTCTCTTTCCAACGGCTCTCTTACGACCCCAGCAGCTGCACCCGGGCCTGGGCCCTCATCTCAAACCTGATCTGTGACAAGGTGGAAAAGAAACCACAGGATAAATCACACAATGCCCCCAAATAAACCAACCCAAGAAACCAAACAGTAAAGAAGAGATTAAAAAGACAGACAGACAGACAGACAGACAGACAGATAAATCACTATTTCCCCCATGGGTTTCATTATTGTCTTGATGTCAGGAGACAGACACAGGGAGAGCACTTCCCTTTTCAGACAAGATATGCTAATCACTCTGGAACAGGTGGAGGAAGAAGCCCTTGCATTATAAAGATAGGGCTTTCCTCACACTGCGGCCAGAATCCACTTTGTGGCAAACAATCCTTTGTGGCAGTGAGCTGCCCCAGGGTTCAGAAAACAGCCAAAAGTGGGGGCCATATAAGTATATGTCTCAAAAGCAGTGGTGAAGTCACCAGCTGTAAGTCACCTGTAAGAAAGCAGCTGGGGAGCTCCCAGGATGCAACTGCTCAACCAGCAGCTCCAGGAAGTAGAACTCTCTGAGGAACAGGGTGGAGTAGGGTCAAGTTCAGTGTCAGGGGGCAGTCAAGGGGAACTAACCAGGTGACATGTAAAGGAGACAGCTCAGCAGAAAACTTGTACATTTCCTGAGGCAGAGAAGTTTTGTCATAATATGTGGTACAGGAAGAAATGCAATTATATGTTGACATCACAGGCAGACAAACGAGCCTACAGACTCAAAGGCTGTATTTTCATGTTCTTAAATGACAACTGTCACTGTGGTATTTTAGTGCCTACCTTCCTTGCTTCTTTAGTAAACAGTAGGCATCTTTAAAGCAGAAACTAATCTTTCTATAAAGCACTTTCTGACCAAACCACTATGCCCCTGGCCAGCGCCACTCCCCACAAATCCCCACAGAGTGAAGTGCTATCTGTCTGGTGAGCAAGTGAACTCCTCATTGTCTTCCAGGCCCTGGACTATAGAGTGCTGAGGAACAGTCTACATGAAAGATAAGGCTTCTTTTAAATAAAGACAGTACTGATCAAATCAATAACTGCATATAAAATGAGGTCCTTGAACAGAACAAGTCAACTTACTAGTAATCATTGCTCCAGTTACAGAAGCCAGAAAGCCGATGCTGACAGCAATGATGGAGATGACTCTGCCCTGCCTGTGCCTCTGGAGCATCACAAACATCAGCACGCCTGCAGCACCGTGGACAAACAGAGAGGAGAAGAGAGCCCAGAGGAAGATCCAGTACCACATCTCTGAAAGGAAAGAACAGTGTTAGTCCTGCTGCAGAGACACAGGTTAGAGACTCAGCAGCAAACAGTGAGTGGCCAGGGCTGGGAGAAGCCTCAATGAGAGCCACATCTAAAAGGGCCCAGCCTGTTGTGGACACACAGTGTTTCCCAGCACGTCAGTGACCATGAACGCTAATGCTCAGAAGGCGAAGGCCACACTGCCATTTACTCCCCATATCCCATTTAGAATGCAATCCATCAGCTTGCCTCCTGTCACTGTAATAATCTCACCCTGGACTTGCACAATCCTTTATGATTTCTTCAACATGCCCCCACTGGCCTGCTCACTGTTGTCTTCATCTACCACAGGGACAGAGCACACCCTACATTTTGTCTTTCTAGCCTTCATTTCCTTTCTTCCGGGCCTCTGCTGCCTCCCATACCATTGACACATTTCATATAGATATTGATGCTCTGTACTGTGTAACTCCAGCTCCCTGGCCCCATTCAAGAGGCACACACAACAGAGGCAGTGGTTGCTCCAGGTGGGGCCATCCTTCTTTTTCTCTGGGAATTCTTGACTAGAATGCACTCTCCTCCATCTTTAGGTAACTGAAATTAAACCTACGTCCTCCTCATTCAGTGCAAGCCACAGTACCAACAGAAAGAAAAGAGACCCATCAAAGGAGAGGCCACCGAGTCTAGTATTTCAGTGATTTCTGAGGTCTGTCATATTACTATCCTTAAATAGGAGTTAACATTCCAGTTTCTCTGTAATAAAATGCCTGTTTCATGGGAAGTAATTCAGAAAAGGCTGCTTTTAACTGAAAAGCTGTGGACCCTGTTTAGCCACCCTTGAGGGTCCTCTTTGGTATGCAAACATTCTACGAGGAAGGAACTCCACTGCTGTTTGTGCTTCTTGTATTTTCTGTCAGGTCATTGTAAGGAGACACATTTTTTTCAAGAAAGCCCTATTTACCCAAACATCATGGTAGAAATTTGCAAGATGCAATTAACATGAAAAAAACGGAATGGCAGTTCCTCAGAAACCCAAGAACAGAATCACCATCTGATCCAATGCCATTTCTCAATATATATCTGTGTTGGTTAGGTTCTACTGTCAAGGTGACAAAACCTAGAGTCTCCAGGAAAAAAGGAACCTCATTTGAAGAGTTGCCTGGATCACACTGGTTTGTGGCTCTTCGAGGAACTGTCTTGATTGACAATTGTGGATGGCGCCATACCTAGACTGTATAAGAAAGCTAGCTGAGGGCTGAGGAGATAGCCCAGCAGTTAAGAGCAATGTTTGCTTCCCAGCATCCACATGGTAGTTCACAACTGTCACTGAGCACCTGGTACACATGGTAGTTCACAACTAACATGTAAGCAAAACACACTCATAAAATAAAAATAAACAAACTTTAAGAAAGCTAGCTGACCAGTTAGCATGCCATAGTGGATAAGGGAAATCTTACAAAGCCCCAACCCTAGCTGAAGGGCTAATGGCAATTAATGACTGCTGATAGAGGGAGAAATCATTCTTCAGAGACTAGCCTCTTACTTGGTTATCCAACACCAAGTGGTCAGCCCTTAAAACACATACAAACAAAACCAAGTGGACTCAGCAGGTTCTATTTATATATGTAACAAAAGTACATGTAACAAAATATAACTAAAGAAAAAGAGAAAAGTGTTTTGGTAATTAGGAGAGGGAGGGACGGAGGGAGAAAGCAAGCAAGACAGGGGGACATCAAGACAGCTGAGAATGAGCACGATAATGAACTGTGAGCTGGAAGAGTAAGACAAACTCTTCTCCCCTCAAGCGCTTCTGGTCATGGTTTTTGTCACAGAAATAGACTGAAGCAACAAGAGAGATTAGTAACAAAGAAAGAAGGGTGACTGTGTTACTTTTTGGATCATTTCACCGGAGAGTTTAGTTTTAGGCTGGAAGTTGTTGAATGCTGGAAGCAGAACTAAATGAGCTATTAGCAGAAGATAATGCTGAGAGAAATATGCCCAGTAGAGGCCTGGGCCATGATGAAGAAGGGAAATGGATACAGACCATTCATGTGGTGTTTGACAAAGAATCTGACTGTATTCAGCTCATGTCCTAAGAACTTGTATGAGGCCAGAATAAAGAATAATGAACTAATTTATTAAGCAGAGGAAATTTCAAGACAGCATGGGTCTATGGTATGGTTATTACTGTATACTCTAATGCAGGCCTCCCATGAAGAAAAGCAACACATGGGGCAGAAAGAAAGAAAAATGTGCAGCTTGGAGAGAGAAAGAGTGGTAGGAAGTCTAAGGCCGAAGTAAGGTCATTTGCTGAAAAAGAGACTGTGACTGTTAAAGAGATAAACATCACTAAAGAGAAGCTTTGTGCTCTGCACTGGGATAAAGGGTACTGAGGCAAGGCCTCCCCCAGCTAAACATACAGCATGTGACAGAAGAAAGCCTAGGGGGCTTTGTTCCCAGAAAACAAATACTTAGCCAAGTTCACCAACAACTTCAGCACACAGAAGCATCTACACTGTGGTCAAAGGGAAGGGCCAGGATCCATTTCACCCTGGCAGCTGACCTTGGCAGTGTCGTTCACTTGGCCTGGTTTTTGAGGCATGAAAGATACAAGATAAAGGAAGTCATGGGATCTTCCTTCAGTTTCAGGGAGCTGTTGAATTTGTCAGGGTTCTCCAGAGGAGAAAACTGATAGGATGAATCTATGCATATATTAAAGGGGGATTTGTTATGCCTGGCTAGTCCAACAATAGCTGTCTCATGACAAAAAAAGCCAAGAAAACTCAAGTTGTTCAGTTTGAAAGGCTGGATCTCTCAGCTGTCCCAATCTGGTGCTAGAGTTTCAGGGAAGTCCCAAAGAACTGCCAGTCTTCAGTGTACATTGTAATCCCCAAGAAGCAGGTTCTAATACCATCAAGGAATGCCTCAGCAGCAAGAGAAATGAACTCGTTAGAGTGACAAGAAGCACGCTAAAAGCAAAAGCTCCCTTCTTCAGTGTCATTTTATGTGGGAAGCCACCAGAATGTGTGGCCTGGATTTACAGTGGGTTTTCCAACTTCAAATGATTCAGACTTAGGGTGGATCCTCCATATCAAATGATCCAATCAAGAACAATTTTTCATAGGTATGCCCAGCGGTGTGGTTATAGTTACTATAGATTTAGTCATCTCAGCTTTTGATGTCAGGCAATATGTGGCAGGGTCAGAGCCCCTGAGAAGCCATCATGTGAAGCTGTGACCACTGTGAAGCCTGGGTTGTCACACAGATCCCAAGACATTGGAGATGCCAGAGTCATGAGGTATCTGCCAAGGAGATCTGCATATAGGAGTGGAAACCAGGCGAAAAGAGAGATGTATGATGCAGGCAGCAAAGCTGGGGCGGGGGGCAGTGTCACCTAAGCCTTTGAAACTGAAGTTCTTTAGATTAGTTGTGGAGCTACAGATTTGGTGTCATCCTGCTGAGTTTCAGTTTTGCTTTGGTACAGTGTGTCTTCATTACGCCCCCATGCCCACTTTTGTAATAGGAATGTATGTTCTGTGGCATTATCTGCTGAAAGTATGCAATTTGTTTTTAGTTTCACTGTGAAGTCACAGTTGAGAGATTTCTTTGAGTCTAAGAAGAGACTTTGAACTTTCGAACAGTGTTGTGGCTGTGGGAGGGGGCTGAAGAGATAGCTCAGAGGTTAAGAGCACCGGCTGCTCTTCCAGAGGTCCTGAGTTCAATTCCCAGCAACCATATGGTAGCTCACAACCATCCCTTATGAGATCTGGTGCCCTCTTCTGATGTGCAGATATACATGGAAGCAGAATGTTGTATACATAATAAATAAAATCTTTTTAAAAAAAAAAGGCTGTAGGGACTTTTAAAGTTGGACTGAACACATTTTGTATCATGAGATGGCCATGAACCCTGGAAGGCCTATGGTGGAATGTGGTGGTTTGAAGGAGAAATGTCCCCTCTGGCTCATGTATTTGTACACTTTATCTCCAGTAGGTGGTGCTATTTGGGAAAGGTCCAGCACCTTTTAGGGGGTGGAACTTTGTGGGATGAAGTATATCACTGATGGACTTCAAGACTTTAGTGTCACCTCTCTTCCTACCCTGTTACCGTTCTCTAGCTCTGCTTCCTGTGTGTTGAAGAAATGACATCAGCCAGCTTCCTGCTCGTGTCACCATGCCATACCTTCCCTACTGTGATGGACTCTATCTCCCTGGAACTGTAGGCCAAGATAAATCAATCTTCCTTAAGTTGATTTTAGTCAGAATATTTTATCACAGGAACAGTGATAAAACATTAACTAATGCAATATCCCAAAGGATGAAGAATAGACTAGATCCTCCAAGACACACTGGCACACAAACACAACCAACCTCATGTCATTGTGTTCACCACAATTGGGAGACAAAAGCAACCGAAGTGGACAACAACACATGAATGAACAGCATATCACATACATAGATCAAGGGAAATTAATCAGCCTTAAAAAGACAGGAAATTCTGTTACATGGTTCAACATGGATGAACCCTGAGGACATCTGTAGAGTGGACTGACCAGTCACAGAAGTAAAAATACTGTATGCTCCCACTGCCATGATCAAGTTCATAGGAAATACAATGGTGGCTGCCAGGTAATAGGATGGATGGAGACTGTGGGTTTAATGAATCCAGAGTTTCAGGATTTGTTTGGAATATTCCTTTATTTTTGTCACGATTAACTCATAATCATTTTAAAACTTAATGGGCTTCTCCATCCTCCTTTCTGCCCTTCCCAGAGTTTAAATTTTACAAGATGTCAAGGATCTAGAGGTCTGTGGCAGAACAAAATGAATTTACCTAAACCATATCCTTAAAAACAGAGTAACGTTTATGCTGTCTGAGTTGGTTTAACAGATTCATTTGATGTTTGTTTCTGACTCCTTGCACAGGGCTCCTGAAAATCTTGAAATAGCTGGAAAAAATGTATGCTAAATAAGCAACTTAGGCTTGACCTTATACTGATCACCAGAGGGCTGTCTTAATTTTCTAGCTCAC